TTATGAAGACGTTTATAGGTAAAAATGTGGCGGTTTTCGGTGCGCTTTGAGACAATATTTGTCATAGCTCGCCTATTTCTTGGAACATGTAAATGAAACATGGCAGTCTAGTACATTTTTAAATTCAGAATCTAGTCATGCTGTCAGATTTTTAATATCTGTCACACTTTTTGAGTTGCAAAGACATTAACAGGTAAAAAAGTGGCGTTCTTTACCGAATTACAAAGACTATCAGTCATATGTTCTCCCAAAGTCATGATATTTGAATAAAACTTGCAACATAAAAGGTTCCTCCTTGCCAAGCAATGCTCTGGATCAATTTGTCACAAAATTGTAAGTAGAGAGCTGGATTTATTAGTCTAATAAATCCAGTTCTCTACTAGTAAAACATGCATACTTTGTAATAGAAAATAAGATCGTCTCTGTGTATATCCATTGTGAGACAGTGTCCTATTGTGTGGTAGATTAAGATGCGTTCAGATAATATAGTTTACAAGTCATGGGAATATTTCGCATGTGTAGGCTACAACTCATACAATAAATGTAACATATTTACACCCCCTCCCTTTCTCTCTCTCTCTCTCTCTCTCACGCACACACTCACACATGCACGCGCGCACTCACGTACGCACGCGTGAACGGTAACAATGAATGTATAAACGAGACTATCTTCCCAGACTGGACTAAATAAGTACCATACCCTTTAATAACAATCTTAATGCCTCACTTTTCCAAACAGAGCACACAGGACGAGTCCAAGTGTGTGCTTTCCCAAAAGGGGGGAATAGGCTTTCATAACGCAAACACAATGCCATATACACCACTTCTCAAGATGTTTGCTTTTCTGTTTCTATTCTTCTGTCATGCAATCAAGCAAATAAAAATGACTACATCTATTGTATTGTGACTAAAATGCAACAAAAACGCAAGTTATCAAGGCCTCCGTTTAGTTTTCAAGTATCCTTCCCCCCCCCCCCCCCCCTCCTTTCCGGTTCACATAAGTGGGGCCTCGTTTGTAGCGCCCGAGGCGACCGATGGCTGATGACGTCACTCAGTGGAAATTTCCCAGCCGCCGGTCGTTCATCCAGCATGCGCAAATGGCAATGCCGCTTTTTCCCTTGGTTACTCACACATTTTTAAAGATTACGCGAAAACCGCTAAACACAGAAGCATGAAATTTTAAGGGAATAAAGAAAAATGGTGTACAACGTATCAGTCAGTTTGACAAATCACAGCTCCGAAAAATCTTCAAAGCGCACCACATCAACCACTTTCGCAAACGTTTTTGACTACTTCTTGGATGGGTACAATGTTGTCAAACTGCATACTACGAGATTGACCTCTTTTCTGATTGGCTGCCAAGTTTCATTCATATCATTCACGAGAAGCGGCGTGAGAGCGAGTTGAAGACAACAACCTTTGCGTTAGTGCGTCCCACGAAACACCCCCGCTGCGGGGGCCAAAAATGGGCAGAACAAATCGC